AATTAGTAATGGAAATAATAATTCTTTTAAATATATTTACTTTCCTTCTCCAACATGAAAGGCATACATCTAACTCAAAACTAGCAATAACGTTCTCTTCTTGCTTATAATCGCTTAGCTCACAGTCTCCCATATCTATATCTTCCTCTAACTGGATCATCCACGTTCCATGTATCAAGATTCTATGGAAACTCGTCTAATTACTTGGAGATTCTATGAACTCATACTTTTTCCTTTCTTGTTCTTAGTGAGGTTATTTAAGCCTATTAATGCCAAAGTCTAAAGTCTAATAAATACTATATATGATTTCATTTTAATTCTCAGAAGTTTAACATGATAAGGACTTGACAAAATAAACAACTGCACTGAACAAAATCAACAAATATTTCTATATCTAAACTTCATTGGAACCTGGACATGAATGTCATAGTCTAGAGCTGACCTTTCAACTAATTAACCCACCACAGCCACCAATCTATTCAAACTGTACCTTGGTGTGCTCTCTAACAAACAGCTGTAGCTGAAAGGTATCCAACAACAGAAAGCAGAGAAATAAATTACAAGTGTCATACATAACTGTTTTAGGCACATTAAGACCAAAACAAGGATTAATATCAAATGGATATAAGTTATCAGTACACGACCCGATATAGCATAACATTTTAGGACATGATATCAGAATACATTAGGTTTCAAGAGATTTTCAATGCAAATCTCACACAAAAAACTATACCGTGCTATTTTTCTCATTAATTGATTTTCAATATGTGTGTACAAAAAAAAATCTCTTAGTGAATTTTACATAGACATTTAGCTGTCAAATACATGTTAGGAAGTATAAAGACCCAGCTAGGATTCTCATTTGTCAACTCTTTGAGGAGAAAGAATATGATGAACATCTCTCACATAGGCCAGGTGGACCAATTATATACTTTAATTCTAAAACTACTATCATTTCAGCTGAACCACTCCCTTATTAAATTTCCAATAATTAAGGTTTGGTAACGAGACCAACCTTCCATCTTCTCTCTCGTTGGAGAAAAAAAAAGCATTTGTTTACCTCTTCTTTTCTCTTCTTCTCCCTCCATTGCTGTTCATATGCCTGTCATGTCCAAATTCTCATCCAACATTCACCAAATTTATAAACAAAGCAGCAACCGTATCAATCATAGGGAACATAATGTCCTCTTGCATTAAACACAAACTTCCAGCATCCCCCTGTCGTCAAACAAGCCGTTATTTCTTTTGCATTCTAGCCTTGTGGGCATTTCTGAATATATTTCGTGTTATTCTTCATCCACCACTGTTCTGTGTTACTACTTATAGTCGAGAAAAAGATGATAATAATGATTTCTGGAAAATGTCAGAAACGGGTGTGGATTCTGGAATCAGGCCATGTCTCAATTTCAGTGAAATGTATAAGAATTTTTCAGTTAGAGCAATACCAAGGAAATATATGATGGTGGTTGTATCGGGAGGCTTGAACCAGCAAAGAAACCAGATAGTCGATGCTGTCCTTATTGCGAGGATACTTAAAGCGGTGCTTGTTATGCCTGTGCTTCAAGTCAACCAAGTGTGGGGTGATGAGAGGTAAGATGTGTTAACGTCTTGCAGAAAGAAAATCTCAGATGATTTCAAAGTTTTTTAAGCATATGCATCTTATGTTATCCAAATCAAAGTTTCAAAATTTTGACAGACCTGCAAAATATTTTACGACTTGACACGAGGTTAAAAACACATGCAGAAATCATTTGAAATTTTATTTGTAGATAGTCAGTGTGTAATTACATTGCATCCAACAATACGGATTTTCAATTAGAACCCCACTTTTTAAAAGGTTAATTGCAGACTGAACCCCTGTCCTGTCGTTAATTTGAACTTTCTGCAGTTCAATTGTTGCGGATATAACACCTGAAAGAATTCCATTGTTGCAGATAGACCCCCGGAAAGGGTCAAAAAAATTCACTCAAGGGATCTATTTGCAACAATAGAACTACAGCGGTAGTAAGTTCAATTTGGAAACAGTACAGGATGTCTATCCGTAATTAACCCTTTTTTTTAATTGGAACATAATATCCATGTCTTGGATTCTGTTATAGTAGTTTACCTCAACTTTTTAGTGCCAATGATTTCTGTTATGTAGTGAATTTTCAGACATATTTGATGAGACACACTTTAAAGAGGTGTTAAAGAATGATGTGGTGATAGTATCGTCGTTGCCACCAAGAAAGCTGAATAGACGACGAGTTCGAGCCCCTGTGATGCCATTCCATGCCGATGAAGATTGGATTATTCAGAACTTTGGGAATAAGGTAAAGCCCTGCAAGAAAATTCATAAACCAGCATAAGCAATATGAAGAGTAATCTGCTTCACAATTTGTTCGTGGCTGTCAGCTTAGAAGAGATAGCATCTTGCTCGTTCGTGCAATTGATTCAAAACTCTCCAAGAACCTGAATGCTGATTTACAGAAGCTCCGTTGCAAGGTTCAGCTACTAGTTATAAATATCAAAGGGTTAATTGCACATTGGCCCCCTGTAGTATCACTGTTATGAACTTACAACGCCTGTAGTTTCATTGCTGAATATAGACCTCCTGGGTTAAATTTTTCGACACTCTTACCCTGGGTTAAATTTTCGCAGATTTTTCCCATGGGTGAAATTAGTGAGTCTATTTGAAATTAACTCAGGGTTCTATCTGCAACAAAGAAATTACAGAGGTACTAAGTGGGATATGTGCACTTAACCTAAATCTGATTATGGTACGAGTGATTTTAACGACTGATAATATTTTGTAATAATCTTGACAGGTAGCTTATGAGGCTTTAAAGTTTCGACCATGGATTGAGGAGACAGCAGAGAAGCTAGTTAAGAAGATAGGGCAAGAGGGACCGTATCTGGCATTGCATCTTAGGCTAGAAAAAGATGTGTGGGTGAGAACTGGGTGCCAGTCGGGCTTGGGCAAAAAATCAGATTTATTGATCGAAAATGAACGAAAAGCAAAACCTCAGCTCCTAACATCTCGTTCAAAGCTTGCCGCGCAAGATCGTTATGCAGCAGGTCTTTGCCCCCTTAATGCCAAAGAAATTTCCAGGTAAAAAGACAAACATGATACTATCTTCACTAGTCTACTTGTTAACAATAGCATTTCACAGACAACTCAACACATTGCTTTATTGATAAAATGATACTTGAAATGGAATGCCAAAGTTTAATTTACATGTTCATCTATTTCAACTAGGCGCTGATTTTATATGGTTTGTCACAGTAAGTTATCTCCTAACTGAGGCACTTGATATGAACACGTTAGCCTCTTCACTTGTTTAGAAAAGGTCACTGCGATTCAGTTGTTTAAGGATTCCTGTATCGAGAAATTAAAAAATAGTTGGAAAATTAACGGCATAATTATCTCCACCGATATATGGTGTTTAAAAATCTCAAACCCTATTTCAAATTGTTGGTGGTGTTCAACATTTACTTTAAGAACTTAACTGACATGCTTCATAAAGATTCAGACTGTGCACTACCTATTGATGTATGCTTAGCTTCGATCTTGAATTAAACATCTATGGCCAAAATGACACAATTTTTCCTGCAATTTCTTGGTTCATGTGTCATAGTTGAGGGCTCTTGTCTTGAAAACTCTAGCCAGTTGTAATGCTTATCTAAGAGAAACTATGTATGATGTTATTCATTGTATCTTACGATTCATCCTTCTTGTTTAGGTTGCTAAAAGGACTTGGTGCACCAAAGAACACAAGGATTTATTGGGCTGGTGGTGTACCGTTTGGAGGTGAAAGCGCTCTTGAGCCACTAAGAAGGCAATTCCCAAACCTACAAAATAAGTGGAGCCTATCTAATTCTGGAGAACTCAATGATATTAAACACAAACCATCCATTTTAGCTGCACTTGACTATGTTGTTTGTCTTAGGAGTAAAGTCTTCATAGCAAGTCATGGAGGAAACATGGCAAACTCTCTACAGGTATTTCTACAATTTTCAGCATCATTTCTGCTGGATTTTTTTATAATACCAGTAAAATGTTTCACTAATTAATTTATTTTCATTGATTAGGGACATCGAATATACACGGGTTATGGGAAGAATATCAAACCAAATAAGAAGGCATTAGTGCAGTTATACATGAACAAGACCTTAAATGGTCTTGAGGTTGAGAAGGAAATAAAGAAGATTCATACAGAAATTTTGGATTTTAGATCTCCCGGAGACACAGTTCTTACAAAAGACTCTAGTTCTTTGATTGTTCGTAATTGCATGTGTGGTACACAAAAAGGAAAGGTGAATTGAAGAGGAAACAAACAGGTCATTTATTTATTTTCCCCATATATACTCCATGTACAGCAGATTCTCTTTCTTTGAGAAATTCATACTCATGTATTTTATTTATACTCGATTGGCATAAGTTAATTATTTATATCAACGATCAAGATTCATTATAATTTTTTTCATCATTCAATTGCAAAAGCACATTTTCTAGCCACATTATATGTAAATGCATATAAAGTGACCAATTTAACATGAACAACTTTTAAGGATTCGCTTAATTTGTGCATTAATAAGGCTCTACAGCTCATTCAAGTTTCTAAATAATAACCAGAGGCAAATCCGTGCCATGTTGAGGGGATGGTGGTGACAGACAATCGTTGTAGTATGTTTAAAGTGGCAACATGAGAGGAAGGGAGAAGGGAAATCAGTTGTTTTATACGAGGTTGTGAATCATGTAGGAAGAAATAAAAGGCTGCGCCACTACATTAACAAAAATTAGAAACTAGTTTTGAATACTTGTTATGAGCACAACTAGCATACATAAGGAGTAGAGAAATTTCATAGAATCAGTGAATCACCTGCATACGAAAAGGATTGATGGTTGGATTATCCGTCCCAGAGTCCAGAGCTTTCTGGGTGTCATAATCCCATGAGATTATCTCCTTTACCTGAAGCACAAACAAACACGCAACAAATCAGCCACAAGTACTCAAAATAATGATGCTTGAAAGATCTTTTTTCCCTCCCTTTTCCTGTTGACATGGAAGAAGCCGAACTCATGGAAATGATTGACCTGAAGTATAAAAGGAGGTAGTCAAGCGAGGAGTTAGAATCTATGTCGAAGTCCTGAGCTCGGAGAGGAGTAGAATTTGCATCACTTTGCTTTTGTGAGTTCGTGTTGGACATTATAACGAACACACGGTGATCATGTATGAAAATGAGGACCAAGAAGAGGATATGATCTCAGGCTTCTCAATCTTTGAACAATTTTTACTTGCATGTGCTCTTCTAGTAATAGACAAAGTATCCAATCATTCTCATGTTAATAGTACATCAAGAAGATATCAATCATTAGGTTTTTAAAATTAAGAGAAACGTGTGCTAATCCAGTTGTCAACATCTATCTGATACATCATTAGCACCATGAACCAGAACCACTGGATACTAGAATCATACGCATTTTAGTTCTATACTCACGCCGGGGTCTTTGAGGGTCTTATTTTATGGTCAAAGGGGATTTCTAGCTAGATTTTCAATATCTACATGTTTGGTAGCAACCTACTAAACTAGTCTTTAATCCCCACTTCATAACAATTAGGAGCTCATAAAAATAAGCTAGATTTGACCAAACAAATAACTAATCTTCCGAAATTCTTTTTATAAAATTTCAACTTTACCTCAATAACCAAACATGTAGTTGAAGCTATATATCAAAAATAAGCTCCCCAAAGACTCTCTAGTTTCAGTCAACCAGAAAACATTTTCATAAACGTCCTTGCTGCCCAAGGCAAGAAAACCAAACACCTTCTAGCTTCAGTCAACCCAAAAACATTTTCATAAACGTCCTTGCTCTCCAAGACAAGAAAATCAGTCCAATAATATCTTAAAGAAAATTAGAAACTTCAACAAGAAGAGGCTAATTATCGCTTAAATAACTTAAAGGTTTAAAATTTTACATTTTAGTACTTACTTTTATGCTCTTTTATGCAAAAGTGCCTCGAAATTTTTTTCCATGTGAGTCGTGACACAGATAATTTTAATACTTCTAACCCTTACATTTGTTGAATTTACTATTAAACCCACCACAATTCTATTTTAAAATATAATTGGCATAGACTTAAAAAGAGAGTTAAGAGTGTGTTTAATAGTAAATTCAACCAACATTAACGACTTAAAGATTATAAAATCAGCCCGTGAGGGTCACATGGAAAATTTTTAGTTAACAGAATGTATTAAAGTGCAAATTTTAAAAACGTTTAAGCGCTGCAAAAAACAACTGAGGGTATACAAGCGCAGAGCACGAGAAAGAACAAGTATTTAAGCGCTAATTAGCCAAAGCAGGAACCCAAAAGTGTCAGTAAACTAGCAGGCCGGGCTTAGTCTATAAATGTAAAACTGGGCTTTAGCTTAACTACAAAACCCAAAACAACAGCGAAAACGAGGGAGCGCGAGCGAGCGAGCGAGGGAATGAGTATTCTCGCGGGGAGGTTAGCAGCAACCGAAGGATCCTACTTCCTTCGAGAATCCAAGCAGGCGGTCGGCCGCCTCTCGAACAAAAAAACCCCTCCTCAATCTCAAAACCCGAACCGAATCGAATCCGAATCCGCCGACGTCCTCCCCGAAATCCTCCGCCATTCGATCCCTCTCAAAGGAATCCCGCCGGAATCCGATCCTTCACTGTCCACCACCTCAAAATGGCTTCTCAAATCCAATCCTTCATCGAATTCCGTGTCTCCTGATGCTCTCAACCCTTTTAGGGCTTACGTGTCCTTGCCGCAGGCCACGCTTGGACCTAAAAGGTACTCTCTTTTTGGCTAATTGTTGTGAATTAGGGTTTGGATTTGTGCAAATTGGGGGAGTTGGCGATGTTGCAGGTGGCAGGTGCCTGATGAGCAGCCGACCGTTTCGGCGTCAAAGGCGAATGAGCTGAGGAAGGACAGATACTCGCAGCAGATCGATTCGAGGAAGCTCAAGGCCTTGGTTGTTGGGTATTCACAAAGTAATTTCACTACTTACTCTCATTTTCTTTTGAATTTTATGATTTTTTTTCCCCTGGTGTTTTCGCTATGTGTCGTTTCAAATTAGGATGTTAATACGAATTGTAATGTCGAACTGGCACTACGTGAAAATTGAGGAAAACGGGAGAACATAGGAGAGAGGAAAACTATTATAGCCTTAAATAGAAATTAGATTTATATGCGGTACGAAAGAGAAACTATAAGCTAAGCTCTTAAATTCTTGTTGAGAAGCACACACGCGCGCGCATATACAGGCACACACGCACATTCACATACACACGCACACGCTCATATACACACCCATGCACGCGCACATGAGCGCACGCGCAGACACACACATGCTAGAACAAATCTCAATACAAAATCAATGGATAAAAAAGTTTGTGGACAAATGGCTCATATCCGCTTAAGTTTATAGGAAGTTTTACTATACACACACATATATCTACATATATAGTTGAAAAGTTTGTAGATGACAATAGTCTGGCTCATGTTGTTTTTTGTTTGAATGTGTTTTAGTTGGAAAAGCATTTGCTGTTGCTACGACAATAGTCTTTGGAGGAGGAGCGGCTGTCTTTGTGTACACAGCTCACAAACTTCAAATTGAGAATGTAAGTTACTGGTTGAATTTTTATGTTCTTTCCATGACTTGTTATAAGTTCTTTTTCCTGAATGTCATGATGGAGTCCTTTAGACTAAAAAGAAAAATGAACTTTTGCTGTGGTGGTTTGTGTTTAGGGTTAATTGTGAACAACCCCTTGTAGTATCACTCAATTGCAAAGAGATCCCATGTAGTTCTATTTGTTGCGAATAGACTGCATGTAGTTCTGTTTGTCGCAAATAGACCCTACAGTATTGGCCCGAGCAAGAATACACCCTCTTAGTGAACTTTTTCAACTTTAAAGTCAAGGAAAATAAAAGCAATTGTCTCCTCAAACATTTTTACCAATTCAAGAGTCAAACAAAATTCACTCAGGGGTTCTATTCGCAATAAGTTTCAAAATGGGGGTCTATTTGCAACAAATAGAACTACATGGTGTCTCTTTGCGATGAGGTGATACTATAGGGGGTCTGTTTGCAATTAAGCCTTGTATTTATTGATATTTTGCTTAACATTTATATATTGTTTTGAGTTTTTTCGACATTAGTCCCCCAAGTCTTTGATCTTTTGAGATTAGTCCCTCAAATCATGAAACTTTGAAATTAGCCCCCAAATTCCTTCAGGGGGGTTAGTCATCTAGAACTTAAAACTAGATCTGGGATAATTTGTGGGATAAATTTTTAAGGTGTTAGTCACATAGAACTAGGAAATGAGATATTTTTTTATAGTGTTAGTCAAGTAGAACTTTTGTAGAACTAGAACTATATTTTTTTTGGTGCGTTAGTCAAGTAGAATTCTACTAGAATTAGAATTGGGATAATTGGTCATTAATTATCCCACAAATTATACTACCTATATATATAACCATATGTTCTCCTCTCTCAAATTATCCCACACATTAGAAAGAATACAATTGAGAAAAAAAAAGTGAAACGCCGCCTCCCTCCCTCTTGGTTAGTTTCTCCGCCTAGAAAATTTCTCTATCATGAAGTCAATCATCCGTTCATTTTTCTGTCTTTACTTTGTTTTTGTGATGATTAGATCTTTTATTATTATCTTCAAGATGTATTACTTTTATTGATAGCTTTTATTATTATCTTCAAGATGTATTACTTTTATGTTTTTTTATAAGTTAGAAAGTAACTTTGCGATCATATTGATGATTAGATGTTGAATGGTTAACGGTGATATCTATTATTATTAAATCGGCCCAGTAAATTGATTGAGATATTTATAGTTCATCTGTCGATCATTTGTTTAGCGGCCATGGAAGATTCCTGTGTACATTTCATTTATTTGTTGATTTGGTTTCAGTGATCATGATGAGATGGGTCCAAAGGGTTAATGGCTAAAAAATACTTATTTTTTTTTCTTTATGATGTTATGAGATTTGAACTTCGACATTTATGATCCTCTACTAGAAGCTCCACAAAATGTTGCTAATGCAGACGATGACTCCGATAAAGAAGACGAGTTACAGACTCAACGAGCAGCTGTAGGAGCTTAGAGAAATTCTATGTCAGATGTCATGTGGGATGATGGAAGCCATGTGGGATGATGAAAGTCGAGTCACTCTAGGGATTTAGATTTTTATTTATTTGTAAATTATTTTATTATTTGAGATGAATAGTGATGCTTTATTGTACTATATTTTATAGTTATTACTAGAATTTGCTTATCAATATTATATTATTTTTAATATACAATTATTAACAATAGTAATTTATACCCATCATTACTCCCACCAAATTATCCTACCAAATTATGCAACTTCATAATATTATCCATCATTATCCCACCAAATTATCCTACCAAATTATCCCACTTTAAGAATTACCCATCATTGTTCCACTAAATTATCCCAATGTTAAAATATTATCCCACTTTACCAATTATTACAGTTCTATTTAAAAAGTTCTAGGTGACTAACCCCCCCAGTGTGTTGAAATAAGTCCCTCTGTTACAATTACCATCCAAAAGCTTAACCACGATCGAGTTAGGATTTAACCAGGGACATGAAATTACCATTTACCCTTTTGAATTAAAACTCCCAACTAGT